TTTTTTCTTATCCTATATTTCATGACTTCTTGATTTTAAAAATATATTTTTCTTATCACCATATATTTTAGATCTGCTTAATTTTTAAAATATATTTGCCTCTTACCATATATTTTCTTGGATTCATTAATTATTAATTCTCCTAATATTTCTTATCATATATTTGAGGATTACCTTTTTTAAAAAAATAATCTCCTCTTACTATATATTTTAGGACTCATTAATTATTAATGCTTCTAATATCTCTTATCATATCGTTTTATCTTACCATGTATTTTAGGACTCATTAATTAATAAGTCTCTTAATATCTCTTATCATATATTTTTCTCTTACCATATTTGATAAGATGTATTAAAAGAATTAATAATTAAGAAGTATTAAAATATATGATAAGAAAAAAATATTTTTTAAAATCAAGAAATACTAGAATATATAGTAAAAGAAAAATATATAATAAGAAATATCAGAAAAATTAATAATTAAAGAACCTTAAAATATATAGTAAAAGATTACATATTTTCATTATTTTTGCCTCTTATATTGTATTCAAAATTTACAATTAATTATAGAATACATTTTTCGGATTTAAAATACAAGAAATGTGCCATAAGGCAAGGAATCTAACACAAATCTTTTTTAAAAAAAATTTACTTTCCAAAAACAAAAAGTACATTAAGGTAACTGGTTAATTGCCTTCAGATTTTTTTTTAAAGCATATTTACAATTTTTAGTCTATAAATACATAAATTTCTCACATTGTCTTCTCACATTTGGCCTTAATAGTCTCTCGCACTCTCACTCACTCACTCTCTCTCTCTCTATATATATATATTTACATCGTGTCTTGCTATATTCTCTTCTAATGTTGGAGAAAAAATAGCAATGGAAGCTTCAAGATACAAAAGAAAGCGAAATTTAGTATCCAATCCTACTGTTTATCTTCATAGTCATGTTATCGATAAAAAATTACCTTTTTACCTATCGAAGATGTTATTTCTTCTTATTGTAGCAAAAAGGTTTCTAAATTCATGGTTGTATTCTCGTAATATTTGTTTTGACATAATTTTTAAATGGAAGTGTTACTTGATAGGTAGAGAAGAGATGTCGATTATTAATAACATCATAAATAGTCATTTGGGCTAAAAAGTGGATAGTTTTCAGCTTTATGTTCCTGTGCCATCAAAGTGCGATTTTTTTTAAAGAAGTGGATTCAAATTGTTGCATCAAAGGGCCTAGAAGAGCTCGAGTTACAAATTAATATATAAATTCAAATTGTAAGTAGTTCCATTAATATGAATTTATTTTTATATATTGACAACGTTTTTTTTTTGTGTTTGATTTCGGGACTTTCCCCTAATTATGTGGATTTTGAGTACATTGATGTGGAGTTCTACTTTCCAAATTTGAAGGAGCTTCAAATAGTGCGATCAGGGCTTAGCTTTGTTAATCCATGTGACTTTATTTTTTATTTGTCAAGAATTGCCCTCAAATTGAAAGGCTCTTTCTTGATGTAAGTGTCTTAGTGTTGAGCTTGTTAAAATAATAATATTTTTTTCTAACTATTGTTAATTATTTGATTTGTGAAATACTTAATTAAATAAAATTATGAAGTTAGGTGATTATGCAATGGAAGCTGGAAGGTACTGGAATTCAATTGCAAAGGAAAAAATTGAGAATTGTCAAATTGAATTTCCACGACTAAAACTATTAAAGGTGAAAGAGTTCAAGAAACTTGAGCTTGAAAAGAAATTGGTGAATTTCTTTTCGTCGCGCGCAAAATTTCTAAAGTCTTTGATTATTGTTTCAAAGGACAAACATCTAGAAATTGAATCGGGTGATGTCATTATAGTTTCGAAGACAATTATTCTTTTTACCTACCGTAAGTACAAGGACAAAAGTGGTGTATTTCCTAAGCATGGAGATTTATAAATGCAAAATAAAATAAAAATAATTGTAAGAGGAGGGTTGGAGAAGATATATGTATTTCCTAAGCATCACAAAATGATATATTTTTTCTCCATTGTATTTTTTTTAATTAGCTGATGGTGCAATATTATTGTGATGATAAGAATATGTTGAAGGTTGAAGAAGATATATGTATTGTTGATTTTAAGTGGTATTTGCGAATTTTGAATTTCATATATGAACTTTTATTATTTTTATCAATTATATAGTTTTAAATTCAAATGAATAACATAATCATTTATATTCATAATAATAATTTAATTCTTATTGCTCCGGATTTATAGAAAAAGTTGTTAACTAAGCCACTAATTTATTTTCCCCACCTTCTCCCTCGTCACAACTTATATTCATTATATATTATATATTATATATTTTATATTAAAAAAAAATATTACATCTCTAATTGGATGAATTTCAAATGTAATCTTTTTTAGACTATTGAAATTTAAATTCATTCCCACACCAGAAGTATTACATATATGTATTCTAATTCTAATCTAATATATGTAAGAACAAAAAAGATCGATAGTCAAAACAATGAAGTTGAAGTGAGATTATATAGGAGTGTAATGTCTTAATATAAACGATTTAATCAAATATAGATGCTTCTTTGGTTGAGACAAAATTCTAGCCTATTTCTTTCTATCTATTTTAGTTCTGATAAATAATGTTACTTGATACTTGTTGTTATTGGGAGATGATTGATATCTCGTAAAATTAATCGAGGTATATACAAATTAATCCGAACTCCACATTTATATAAAAAAAAACTCAAATATTACACCAAATGAAGATGTGACATACAGAATTACGAATAGGATGGTAACTATAATTAAGTTATTATGGTGGTGCTATGCGAGAAGAAATTTATTTCACGCAAATTTTATAGAATAGTTGTAAGAATAATTAGGGTTGTTCATGGTTATGGTTAAAAAATCAAATTGAATTTCAATTTGAATCAAACTGATTAAAAAATCGATATTTAGTTTGATTTGGTTATGTTTGGTTTTAAATTTTGAAAATCGATATTATTTGATTTGGTTTTGATTTTACTAAAAAACAACTGCAAAAATAACCAAATCGATACATTAGATATATAAATTTTATAATTATTTATATATTATTCATAAATAAAATATAAATATTTTGTTAAATTTTAAGTAACTTAAGTCTTTAACTTTACCATTTTATCAAGCCCAACACTTAAATTTTAGTCCAACTATTACAATCCTTAGTCCAAGTCCATAAAAATTCATTACATTGTCTTTACCTACCATACCTTTAATAAGAGATAGTCACACTTTCTCTTAATTGAATCACTTTGTTCGTGTAATGATAACTCTAGTATTGCTTAATTGAACCAACAATAGCTTTTATGTGGATTGTTCATGTACTATGGGTTTGTGTCTATTAAGATACGTATGTCCTCAAAAATTTATTACTTTCAAACTGAAAAAATAAAAAAAACTTAACCAAACCGAACCAAACTGTCACTAATCAAACCGGCGGTTATTTTTTTCGTTTTATTTGATTTAGTTTTAAAAATTTTAAAAACCAACTAGATTGATTTGATTTTTGGTTTTAACCAACACGAATCACTAACATTATAAAGAGTGAGTATTGCACTTCAAAGTCCAATTTATCTGCAAAATAAGTATCATAAAAATGTGAATATAAAAATGAATATATGATCCTACAAGACAATAGCAAAAAGATAAATAGATCACTGTCGAGAATATTAGTAACAATCATATTATAAATATAAAATAACAAAATATTGTTTAATATAATATGATTTCATCATATCCTATATATGTGTAGCATCTAAATACGCTCCATAAATGTGACATTGTGATGACTAAATGTGTTAATACTAAACAAAATCTCAAACCTATAATTTCTGAAGATAATATGCATACTTAACTAAATATAGAACACAATTAATTAAAATCAATTGATCCACAAATGACATGAGTTAGTTGGTATTAAAACTTACTTTTATATTATTTTTGTGTTAGGGTGCTCTATCTATATTACTTTAAAAGTATGAAGGTTATAGAAATATTGATTAAGCTTTTTATAATTAATTAAAACATTAAATAATAGACAAAAATTGTCATATATTATTTCTCTCAAATTAATATTTAATTATAAGACTACTTAATTTTAAAAAATTCCTCTTACAATATATTTTAAGATTCATTAATTAATAATTATCCTAATATATATCTCTCACCATATAGTTTTATCTTACCATATATTTTAAGACTTATTAATTAATAAATCTCTTAATATTTCTTAACATATATTTTTCTCTTACCATATCTGATAAGAGGTATTAAAAGCATTACTTAAAAAGTGTTAAATATATAATAAAAAAAATATTTTAAAAAGCAAGAAATCCTAAAATATATGGTAAGAGAAAAATATATAATAAGATATATTAGGAAAAATAATAATTAATGAGCCTTAAAATATCTGGTAAAAAATTACATATTTTCATTATTTTGCCTCTTATATTGTATTTGAAATTTACATTTAATTATTGAATACATTTTTTGGATTTCAAATCTGAGAAATGTGTCATACAGCAAGGAATGTAACACAATTTTTTATTTTTTTTGTAATTTACTTTCCAACAACAAAAATTACATTAAGGTAACTTATTAAGTTCCTTCAGATTTTTTTTAAAGCATATTTACAATTTTTAGTCTATAAATACATAAATTTCTCACATTGTCTGACCTTAATACACTCTCTCTCTATATATATATATATATTCTCTTCTGATTTAGGAGAAAAAATAGCGATGAAAGCTCCGAGATATAAAAGAAGAAAGAGAGTTTTAGTATCTAATCCTACTGTTTCTCTTCCTAGTCATCTTGTGGAGAATTTTTTTACTTTTTTACCTATCAAGGATGCTATTTCTTCTTCTGTTGTAGCAAAATCATTTCTAAATTCATGGTTATATTCTCGTAATATTTGTTTTGACAAAATGTTTAAATGGAAGTGTTACTTGACAGGTAGAGACGAGATGTCGATTATTGATAACATCATAAATAGTCATTTGGGTGAAAAAGTGGATAGTTTTAAGCTTTATATTCCTGCGCCATCAAAGTACAACTTTCCTTTAAAGAAGTGGATTCAAATTGTTGCATCAAAGGGCCTAGAAGAGCTCGAGTTACAAGTAGCTACCTCTATTAATCGAACTACTTACAATATGGAATCTAATTCTATCGACATTGACACTCTTTACGTTCTGAAACTGACTGGTTGTGGCTTGTCTCTATCGCCAAATTCAAAAAGCTTACGATTATTGAAATCTCTTAGTCTAACTAGAGTTCAAGTTGTACCTCTTTTTATTAAAAAATTATTTATACATTGTGTGGTTCTTGAGTCTTTAGCATTGGATGATTGTTCTTCAACTGGTGATCTTACAATCAAAGGTTCGAACAAATTTCGAACTCTTTTGATTAGAAATTGTGGTGACATAACTTTGATCACCGTAGATAATCAAAATATCAACACATTTCATTATGATGGTCAGATTAACAAAATCAAATTTGTTGATCCAATCATATCAAAAGATGTGATATTAAATCTTGGTATCGCTACTTGGCTTCAACATATAAGTGAAAGGCATGATTTAATTGAAGTCTTAAGAAATGTGCAAATTCTCTCGATTAACAATATTGTTCTTGAGGTAATTAATCTAATGGTTGGCATTTTTGTTTTTATTTATGAATTTATTTTTATATACTGACAACCTAAATATATGTTTTTTGTATTTGATTTAGGGACTTTCTCCTAAATATGTGGATTTTGAGCACATTGATATGGAGTTATACCTTCCAAACTTGAAGGAGCTTCAGATAGTTATATACGGGCTTAGCTTTGTTAACCCATGTGACATTATTTTATTTGTCAAGAATTGCCCTCAAATTGAAAGACTCTTTCTTGACGTAAGTATCTTAATTTTGATCTCGTTAAAATAATAATATTTTTTCTAACTATTGTTAATTATTTGATTTGTGAAATACTTAATTAAATAAATTTATGCAGTTGGGTAATTATGCAATGGAAGCTGGAAGCTACTGGAATTCAATTGCAAAGGAAAAACTTGAGAATTGCAAAATTGAGTTTCCACAACTAAAACTATTAAAAGTGAAAGGGTTCAAGAGACTTGAACTTGAAAAGAAATTGGTGAATTTCTTTTCGTCGCGAGCAAAGTGGCTTGAGTCTTTGATTATTGTTTCAAAGGAGAACTGTCTAGAAATTGAGTTGAGTGATGTCATTACAGTTTCAAACACAACTATGCTTTCTACCTACCGTCAATATGAGGACAAAAGTTGTGTATTTCCTAAGCATGGAGATTTATAAATGCAAAATAAAATTTAAAAAAATTGTAGGAGGAGGGTTGGAGAAGAAACATATATTTTTTCCTTTGTATTTTTTTTGTATTAGTTGATGGTGCAATATTATTGTTGTGATAAGAATATGTAGAAGGTTGAAGAAGATATATGTATTGCTGATTTTAAGTGGTATTTGTGAACTTTGAATTTCATATATGAACTTTTGTTATTTTTAATCAATTATATCATCCATTTTAAATTTTAAATTTTAGTCATATCTTCTTTTTTCGTTGCAAAGGATATTTATTTATTTAACAAACTAGGTAGCCATTATATACGAATTGTTAGCACCTTTTACTATTAGGTGTTCAATCATACTAACATCTATATAACTAGTGGATGGTTAGGGTTAGTACCCTGTACCTTCACTATTTGAGGTAAAACTATCGATTATTACAAAGGAGTTCAAAATATTTAGGTTACCAAGTTTTGTTAGATTCAAACTATTAGTTTTTCTACTAATATATCCTTCAAGTGTATTTAATTGCAAACTCTCTTAATTGTTTCGATGATGAAGATTTCATCAAAAACTTTACTTTCATTTATTGTGGCTCTTTTGGGCACTTTTAGTTGTTATTGTACGAGTCATTTTGTTGCTTTCTATGTAATTATTATATGTTGAATTTGAAAGTTTGTGCTTCTCTTTTGTTTGGCTCAATTGAGCTTTGAGTCTTTTTTTCTTCCTAGTAATATATAGTAAATTAATTTCTCCTAAAATATATGGTAAGAGATACTCCCTCTGTCCCTAATTACTTAGCTTGTCCACTTTTTCTTTTATAGTTGTTCCTAATTACTTGTCCATTTTGACAAATCAAGAAAGGACAATTTTTTTTACCTATTATACCCTCAATTAAATGAATAATTACTTTGAAAAATGTAGAACTTTTCATGCACTTCATAATTAATAGGGGTAAAATGGTAAATTCACTGTGTCATTAATTATTTTCTTAATATGTGTGTCAATTCAAAAGTGGACAAGTAATTAGGGATAGAGGGAGTATTAAGAGAATTAATAATTTATGAATCCTAAAATATATGGTAAGAGAAAAATATATGGTACTCCCTCCGTCCACAATTGTTTGTCAGGGTAAGGTCATGCACATCCCTCAAGGAAAATTTAATACAAGGTGTAATTTGACTAATATAACCCTACAATACCAAGAATACCAAAAGTACACATAACTTTTCAATTGAACTACACTATCATTAAGGGCAAAATTGGAAAAAAATGACTAATTATTTCTTGATTGTTTAAATTGACATAATCTTGGACATCTATTTTTAGTATACCTGCCAAACAATTGTGGACAGAGGGAGTATGAAGTATTAGTAGATTTAATAATTAAGGAGTCATAAAGTATATGGTAAGAGGTTTAGGAGAATTATAATTAAGAAGTTCTAAAATTTATGATAAAACATATTAGGAGAATTAATAATTAAGTAATCCTAAAACATATGGTAAGAAAAAAAATATATTTTAAAAATCAAAGAATCATAAAATATATGGTAAGAGGAAAATATATGATAAGTTATATTAGGAGAATTAATAATTAAGATCCTAAAATATATGGTACGATATATTAAAAGAATTAATTATTAATGAAGTCATATAATATATGGCAAGAGTTATTACTTATTAGGAAAATTTATAATTGAGGAGTCCTAGAATATATGTTAAGACTTAAGAGAATTTAGGAGAATAAATAATTAAGGAGTTCTAAAATATATAGTAAGAGATATTAAAATAATTACCAATTAAAGTCCTAATATATATGGTAAAAAGAAATTAAAAAATCAAGGCATCCTTTATATTAGGAAAAATTATTTAACTACACACCATTTATTATCATATTTTCTTACTTTCTCTACCATTTCAAAAAATATAAAAAATTCCTTCTTTTCCTCCCATCATTCCCTTTTCTGGATACATTAATTTGAAATCTCATACCCATGATTCTCCTTACTTTTTTCACGCCTCAAATCTCTCCATAATTACATCAATTAATCTATTTTTGAATTTCAATTTTTTTCTATTTTCAATTAATTATTTCAAATTATTCAAGAGCTAGATTTCTTTCCATCACTTCAATTTCCGATTTCTTTTACTATTATTTTTTATTTTTTTCATCTTAAAAAATAAAAATAAAATTACCTCCTCCCATTGCCCCCATTGAAATCTTATTGAACCTTTGCAATTTTAGTTAATCATATCGTCGTTGAAACTTTTTCTTGAAAACATTTATTTTCTTTTAATATATCTACAGTTGAAAAACGTCCAAAAAAAGAAGAAAAAAGTTCGATCTGTCATTGCACGGACATCACTATCAAAGATACAGATTTTTAATGTATCTTGTTTATTTTGAGTCTTAAATTAATCTTTGTTAGTGTTATCGTTGATCTGATACATCACTACTACAATAACCTTTTTTTTATGCAATGTATCATGTTCATATTTAAGGAATTGATACATAACTCTAATGTTGTTGAATCTTCTATTAATGTTTATCATGTTCAATATAAATGTACTTGATACATAAACTTTGTGTTATGTATCACACAAACAAAAAAAGAAGCTAATTTGGAACAATTACATGTATAATGTATTTTTTAATTTTAAATTATAGTAGATCTCAAACAAAATAAGATACATAAATAATAATGTATCATGTACTAATCTTTTAGTTATGATACGTAATTTCGAATTTATACTAAATGTATCTGATACATAACAATTACCAAACAATAATGTATCGATCTCAAACCTAAAATCTTATGGGCAACACTTTCTTATTTAATGTATCTAGTAGAAATGCAACACTTATTATTGAAAGGATCTTCATGACGTATCTTCTCAAAATTTTTGATAATTTTGAATCAAAATTGAAAGGATCTTCAATGAACTAGGAGAATAATTTTGAACTCAAAATTTTCAACAATATTGAATCAAAATTGAAAGGATCTTCAATGAACTGGGAGAAGAATTTTGAATCTCAAAATTTTCGACAATCTTGAATAAAAATCGAAAGGATATTCGATGAACTTGAAGATTCACAAAAGAAATCATTTGTCCAACACCAATTCCATCATTTTTGTATCCTTCTTAACTCACCTAGCTTATCCAAAATTTCAACAAAAGTTTTTATGAAACAAAGAGAACGATGAACAAGAAGAAGAAATTTATTTTTTGAACTTTTTGGTTAGTTACACTATATGATTGAATTCTTGAAAATAATTTGAAATGAAATAGCGCAATTTATGGGATCTTAATTTGATTTTCAGTTTTTCCCCTTAATTAGTGCAACAGATGAATACTTTGAGATCTTAATTTGATTTTTCAGCTTTTTTTTTTCCTTAATAAGTGCAACAGATTGATACATAATGTATCAACAATAATGTATCTAGATCCTTAATTATGTATTCGAAATGCCTAAAAAACCTGGGATTTGTGTAATTAGAAAAAGAGAAAATTTTATGTATAGCAAATATAAAATCCATATTTGTACTCCATGACTATACTTTATATAATTGCATTTCATACCAAAATTTGTGTTGCCTATTCCCTTTTATATACAATTTGATTTTAAAAAAATAAATTAAAAAATGCGATAATTTGGTTGCAATAAAAGGAAAAAAATCGTTGGAATCACGCACATTATGTGTCAGTAGAAATTCTTTCCTTCTACGTCTTCTTCATCACTAAGAACTCCATTGAAGCTCAGTTCAGAAAATCGATCTAGTTGTTGACGATCAAGAGGAGGTAAAATGTATTTCCTATTGAAAAATACTTTGATTTTATTTTTTTCTGATCGAAATTGGTATTCATCTTGTATTGAAAATCAGATTTGCTTTAAAACTTTCATCAATTAAAATTGAATGTAGATTTCGAGTTGTATATTTTGTTCGTAATAGAGTTTAATAGTTATGATTTCAAAATTTGTGATCATCAAATTTTCTGGATGATATTGTTGATTATTTTGAATTTTGGATCGTAGATTCGCTTTGTTCACAGTCATATTTTTGTTCGAATTTGTATATTTGTTGTCGAATCTATGAATGAAGATGAAATTGTATTATGATTTGTTAAGAGTTTATACGTATAGGTGTTTTGGTATGAGTCAGTCAGATATGTATAATTCATATATGAAATTGTTGACTATTGTTTCAAATTTGTATATTTATACAGTGCAGGTGCGTCTTTGGTTTGGATATATGAATCTGTATATTTGTATACAATTTTATCGATTGTATATTTGTATTAAGCTTTATTTTGTGTATATAATCTTTTATATACGTGTATATTGGGAATATGTATATAAATGAAAAATAGAATTCGTTGTAGTTTATATACATATACCTATTAGTGTTGTTGTAAGTTGTATAAGTATATGAAATTGTTGACTATTTTTTCAAATTTGTATATTTATACAGTGAAGGTTCGTCCTTAGTTTGGATGTATGATTCTGTATATAATAGGTATATGTATATGTCTATTATTTTAGGTTTGTCAATTGTAAATTTATGATTCTGCCCAATTGTATATGTCTAAATGAACATTATACAAAACATATCCTTATACAAATGCTAAAACTTATACAAAAATAATGCACAAAATTGTATCAAATGTATAAATATTTATACTGTATATACAGAGAAATTGTTGTGACGCTACTAATACAATAACTATTAATATTATACATTATACAATCAATCTCAATGTATAATTGTTTACCTTGTATGTATAGTGAAATAGTTCTATTTTATACATTTAGTTTGGATATTAAACATGGTGACTATACACAACTGTATAAACAAATAGGTACAAGACATAAATCAACAAAGAAAATATAAGAATAATATACAATCGCAACATATACAAAATAAAGATTATACAAATGCCTCATCATGCTCCAATGAGCCAGAAACAACTTCCTTTCTTTTGGCGTTTTCACCTGTATAATTAGTTGTTTT